TCTCAAAAGACCTTGTAAATGTTCCAAATGATACATAGACGTCCCGAACGACCACATAGAACCCTCGACTCTTGGCATGCCAACTATACCTATAACTCTCATATCGTATACCATGGGCATTATTCTTATATTTCATATGTTCATGTATTCATGTCATTTCTCTTGTGATCACATATCTCATATCATTTATCATATCACATGTGCATTTGAATGTATTCACATATATCATTTATCAAATCATACGAACATATATACTTTATGCATATATCATAGTAATTATTATGTATGTATGTTCATAACTATTGTACTATGAAAATCAACATAGGAATTAGACTTATCACAAGTCTTATTCCATTGTACCATACTTATAGTATGCACTCACCTATATCCCTTTGCCTTTTCCTCGATCGATCTTACTTGTCACTTGTTCCGGAACTTGTTTAGGCTCAATATCTACATAAATATAATTTTCAAGACAATTATAAGAAGCCTAAACCTTATAATTCGATACTAATAACTTGAGTTAATTTAATGAACCCAAAAATTCAGTTTGCCTTTAGGGGTGTACCGATGCACTATGGATGCATCGGTACACAAATTGGGTTCGAAATTCCCATGCATCGATACACCCCTTAATGCATTAATGAACCTTCAAAATTTATCTTAGTGCATTGGTACACACTCATAGTGCATCGATGCACCAGCCCAGAATAGACTATTTCATCCGAAAATTCCATAACTTTTCATTAAATTTCCTCATATAAAACTCCTTTTATACCACTAAATTCAACTACAACCATTTTAACTAACTTTTATCATTCCAATACCTTATTATCTTCCATATCTCATCCAAATTCTTAAAGCTAAGAATCATACCAAATTTTCCATGTTATCCAAACTTAATTCTAACACTTATAACTTCTTATTCTCATAGATGACAAGTCAAATCCAACTTTCAATTCTTATTATAAGCTCTATTTCAAGATTTCACTCAAGAACTCCAAATCTTTAATCTTTCCTAACTCATTTATCTTTTGATTTTAAGATAACTTAAGTTTTCCTTAAGCTTAGTTAACATCTAATGATCAAAACCCAATCTTAAAATTAACAAATAATTAGCTAAACCGAAAACTTACCTTTAATGGAGACCTACGAGGAGAAGAAGAAGGAGAAGAAGGAAAAGAAGGCAAGAAGATAAGCTCCCAGATGCTTCTTTAACCCCCCATGCTTATCTCTTAAATAAGATATAAATATCTTTTTAATGAAAAGACCACTTTACCCTTCATACTTTTATTCCTCATAATTTAATCCAATACCAGAATTTATCACTTTAAAATTCTAAACTTTTCAATAAATTCTACTTTAATCACTAACTTTTGAACTTTTACGATTTGGTCACTAACTCGTAGTTTGGGATGTTACAAAGTTAGCTAAATAAATAGGCATCAAAATACATTCTAATGTAAATAAGACTTGTGTAGCGTGTCATATGGGAAAAAGTCATAGACTGTCCTTTGTTGAGTCAAATGCATCAATTGATTCTTCCTTCAATCTTGTGTACTCTGATTTATGGGTGCCACCTCATGTGACATCGAATGGATTTCAGTTTTATGTCTCATTTGTAGATGTATTTACAAGACATACATGGATATATCTATTAAAAACTAAAGATGAAATTGTGCTAGCATTTCGAATGTTTCAAAAACTTGTGGCAAATTAGTTTGGCAGCTCCATCAAAGCCTTACAAACGGGCTGGGGAGGTGAATTTTGCACCCTATCATCTATGCTTGCCGGTGAAGAAATATCACATCGATTAACATGCCCTCATACGTCTGAACAGAATGAGGTTGTCGAACGTAAACATCACCATGTTATTGATCTATCACTTGTTTTATTAGTTCAAGTATTTTTGCCAGTCAAATATTGATCATATGTTGTTGTTTTAGCAGTCTACTTAATCAACTGCCTCTCTACTACATTATTACAAGATGTATCTCCTTTCGATAAACTTTATGGCAAGAAACCACACTACACTATGATGAGGGTCTTCGGTTGCCAATGTTTTCCCCATCTGAGACTATTTTAGAAGCACAAACTTGCATTTAGATCTCAAGCCTGCACCTATTTAGGCATCATTCCTCGACATAAAGGGTTCCAATGCTTGGCATCAGATGGGAAAGTTTACATTTCTAGGCACGTTGTATTTAATGAATTTATATTCCCTTTTGTAGGTCAAGAAGCTTGTGAATCCTTGAAATCGCTTGCATTTATAAAATCACTAAGTTGGTCCTCCCAACCATTGCGAGTTGTTGCTCGAAATATGTCATCCATTATTGAACAACCTGCTGCAAATGATGGACTTAATTTTGATCCAAGCGATGCCGCATCAGGAAGTGTTATACCTACAGACACTAATGAAATCATTATTGGTACAAGCCACACTGAAGTCGACCATGTTTATGAAAGTACTAGTGCTGCTGTTGAATCTAGTACTAGTGTTACTACAGAATCTGGAAGTGTCGTGCTAATAATAGATACGTGCAGCAGCCCTGCTGAACCTGATGCTGATGATCATCATCAAGACATTGTTCCTGATTCCAGTGCTATGGGGCCTTCAGTGCGTGTTCATCCCATTATGACATGTAGCATGTCTGGAATTTTTAAACCCAAAGTGTTTTTTACTGCTTAAGAGGTGGATGTCCCAGCTACAATAAATGCAGCACTAAAGTCACCATATTGGTCTACTGTTGTACATGAAGAGCACGATGCTTTACAGAAGAATGACACCTGGTCATTAATGAAACTCTCAGAAGGAAAAAACCACAGTTGGATGCAAATGGATATTTCAAATCAAAAGAAATTCGGATGGTACTGTACTTCGATATAAAGCCCGTTTAGTCGCTAAAGGGTTTGCTCAAACACCTGGGTTTGATTTTGGAGACACATTCAGTCCAGTAGTTCATTTTTTTCTACGTTCAACATTGTTCTATCGATTGATGTTTCTAAGGGTTGGGAGCTTCGACACATTGATATAAACTATGCATTTCTGCATGGAGATTTAAATGAAGACGTTTACATGCATCAACCCCCTGGATTTGAGCAAGTTGATGAGGATGGCAAGCCTGTCGTGTGCAAGCTTCAAAAGGCTTTGTACGGTCTTCGACAGGCATCTCGTAATTGGCATGTAAAGCTCAAAAAAAAGTTTGCTACAACTTGGGTTCACAGTGTCTCGAGCAGATCCTTCCTTGTTTGTTAAACAATCAAGCAACGAATACATGTATGTGCTAGTGTATGTAGATGATACAGTTATGACGGGGCAATCGTCTACACTAATCGAAGAGGTTGTATCACTACTGCAAGCTCGTTTCTCTCTTAAGGATTTGGGGGATTTAAGTTTTTTCTGGGCATTGAAGTTCAGCGTATTGGTGGCTCGATACTGTTGAGTCAGAAGAAATACATCCTTGAGTTGCTTGAGAAGACAGGGATGATGGCAGCTGTAGAATGTGCTACACCTATGGTAGTTGCGTCTAAACTTTCCAATGAAACAGGAAATTTGTTAAATAATGCAAGTGATTACAGGAGTGTTGTAGGCTCATTATTGTATGTCTGTCACACGAGACCAGACATATCATTTAGTGTTGCACAATACATGTACGCTCCACATGAAGCTCACTTTGTTGTTGTTAAAAGAATATTTCGCTACCTACGTGCTACCCTAAACTTTGGCCTATTCTTTTCACCTGTTGACAGTGGATTAAATATAGTTGCCTTTGTCGATGTTGATTGGGGAGCTAGCATTGATGATCGAAGATCTATAACTGGATATGGCATGTTCTTGGGCAAATGCTTAGTCACATGGTGCTCAAAGAAACAAAAGATTGTCTCTCAATCAACAATGGAGGCCGAATACAATAGTGTAGCAGATGCAGCTGCTGACATAGCTTGGGTAAATGCTCTCCTATCTGACCATGGTTTTCAACAATGTCGTGAACCGATTGTGTGGTGTGACAATACCAGCACATTGGCCATGAGTGCCAATCCAATTTACCATGCTCAGTCCAAGCATGTGGACCTTGATGTGCACTTTGTTCGGGAACAGGTGGCAGCTGGTCAATTGCGAGTTAGCTATGTCCCTACAATGCATCAAATTGCTGATGGATTCACCAAACCATTAGCTCGAGCTGCGTTTGAGGAGTTTAGGTAAAAAATATGCATGCATTCCTTTGAACAAATGAAAGAAGAAGAAGCAGGAAAATGTTAGCAGTCTAATGTAAGTGGTGATGAGTATGAGTGTACAGCTGATCGTAACAAACTTGTAACTAAGTCATGCACGTGGCATTAGCTGAATGGATCAGCTGTTAGTTAGTTAGTAATGCAGTTAGAGTTAACTGCTTATATGTTGTTCATGCTTGTGTATATAAACCTGTACATACCTCGGCAGTAAATATACAAGTTCTGCAATATTATAGTGTGAAAATTACCATTTCAACAAACATTGATTAAACGTCAAGTAAATGGTAACTTGTGTTATTTCTCCCTTTAGAATAGAAAACCTGAATGAACTGCAATGGAAATTGGAAAGTGAATTTCTATCACCTGTTCTTCGATCTTTTCAATGACGCAGTGAAGTAATTTTGTAGTCCGTAATTGTATTGACAATAAGCTGAGGGGAGTAACAATATTGAAGGCAGATATATGAAAACCCTTGAATTTCATTGGCTAATTGACTTGACAAATATTTTTACGAACTTTTTTTTTTATTATTTTCAAGAATTCAACTACATCAGAGTACAAATGATTTATTTTCCCAACTTCGAAAAAACACTCGAACCTAAGGTACCTCAAATTGAAATCAAACACATGTGAAACAAAGAAACCTAATTAACCAGGAACAAATCTTTCAAGATTCAAAGTTACTGTCACCGTTCATGATAAAATTCAATCTGTTTTCGTTGCACGTTTAACATGGTGATCAGGCACTTTGTATGAAACTTTTTGAGCTAGTTTTGAAGGGAATGGCCTGCTCCTGGACTGTGACCAGGAGCAGTAGGCCTGAAATCGTTTTCATTTTTGGGTGGCGGGGTTTGGGTTCCTCCTACTGGTGTTGGTGGTGAAGGCGGAGAATGCGTGTTGCCAACCGCTGCTTTGTCGACATTAGTCCCTGTTTCCTTCTGGTCCAATAACAAATGTCTTCCTACATTGAACTGAATTTGTAGGAAGAAAACAAGCAAAAGAAGAACTAGAAGAGAGAGTTGTCTGTTTTGTGCCATAATGTGACTTCTTTCTTTGTAAATGTATGTGTGGTAGAGGGAGAAAAGGGAGGGAAGATAATCAAGCAATAACTCAACAAAGCTTGCTAAGAATATCTGAAAGACTTAAACGAGGGAAGAAGACGCTTGTTTAGCAGCTTTGCCTGTCGACCTCTTCCTCCCCGAATTGCTATTTATACAAGATCCCGATGAAGAACAAGTTGTAACAATATTTAACATGTTTAAAATTCATATAATAATTTGTAATTATGTTGAAATTACAATGAATAATAATAAATAAAGCATATTTGTAAATATTGTTACAACTAACTACTCTGAATCAGTGGTGAATCTAGAAATATTTTTTTATAGTGGGCACATATATATTAATAATAGAAATTTTTTTCGTATAAGATAAACAAAAATAAAATTCCAGAGTAGACACCTGAAGCAAAATTTACTGCTAACATAAATAAATATTTATACACTCATGGATGAACAAGTTGTAATCATATTTAATAAATTAAAATTTAAAGCATAATTTGTAACCATGTTATGTTGGCAAATTGTTGCCAAAAAACTATTTGTATATGTAAAATATTATTATATTAGTTAGGATATATACTTATTTACACTCTTAATTTTAATTTATATTCTATTTTTCTATTTTTTGTTGTTAATTATAGTTTATCCCATGGCCTTGATTTCTTACTATATTTTTTACTGACAGTCTGACATTAAATTATAATTATATTTCGTTGTCAAATTTATTTATATTAAATAATAATATATATTTATTACTACCTAAATTTATTTATTTTTCAATTTACTTATATTTTTGAACTTGTATATTTTCCCACATTGGTGTCTGGTCGTACCTAATTTTTTTATGGGTAAACTATACAAATGGTCACTAATTTTGAGTAAGTTTTCGTTTTTTCCTACTGAAGTTTTAAAACTAATAAATTGGTCATTAATATTATCGAATTTATGATAAATTGGTCACTAACGTTATCGTTTTATAATAAATTGATCACTAACGTTATCGGTTTATAACAAATCGGTCACTAACTTTATCGAATTATAACAAATGGATCACTAACATGAGTATAATAGACAAGTTCATATATATATATATATATATATATATATATATATATCAGTATAGATAAAAAAATAAGTACTAATATTATAAAAATGAGCATATTTAATCATCAAAATGTAATTTACTTTTAATTTTTAAATAAAACAAATAAAACTATTATTTAATATTCAAAAGTCATAAATCTATATACAAATTCACCTAAGATAATTTATTAGATATTTTTTATTAATATTTTTTTTATGTAAAGTAATTTCTTTCACGATAAAACCTAAGAATATATGAAAGCCTTAAAAATACAAGTTATCTTATTCGCATTCACAACATAGAACTTCGCATGGGCCATGCAACCTTTCATTATTTTTTGATTCACCTTTTCATCCACTGGTAACATGCAAAGAGACGGGCCCAGCTTTTTTAAGGACATTTAATAATTTTTAATTTTAATAATTGAAAGTTTAGGTGATAAAATCGAAAATTTAGATGATTAAAAAATATTTTATTTTTTTATAATTGTTATGTCGATAATCTATAGTAAAATGGATGGAATTTTAATATGAAAATTATTTTATTTTTTCAAAATGGATAAAGATTGATTTTTCTATTTTTTAAAAGAAAAATATAATTCGAGATATACGTATATTATTATCGTTTAATGACGAGATGATTAAGCTTAATAAATGGAAATTAATAGAAAATAAGAAAAAATGTAATTAATTACTGTACATATATCATGATCCCGAGTCCCGATATATATTAATACTATGATTTATTTGAGTTAATCATATTTTATTTTAAGTTACTTGATTATGGGGAAGGACTGGGGCTCTTAGTTAACTTAGCCGCCAGTTTCTCACCATTAAAAGATTCTGTTTAGAATAATGCTTTGGTCTTAATCTAGTGTTCAGCTTTCCAACTGGAAAGCCTAGCTGTTTTTAACCTTATTCTACCTCATATCTTTGTAGACTTTAAAAATGAACTGATCACTGGGTAGGTTTTTAGAAGCTAATAAACGCACTTGCAGGTGAAGTTTATTGTACTTAATCGGCACCGAATATTTATTTCTAATATGAAACAAATAAAAAATACAATTACTGTAAAAAATAACCAATATGGATAACATATACAAGAACTATTTAAATGAAACAATAACTTAATTCCTCAACACTTATTTTAAAAAAATCAAGAACAAAGGTGCCTCTTGAAACTTTAAGGTGAATCCTTGACCTTTCATAGTGCTGAAATGGTCACTATGGTTTGATAAATACGGAGAAGCTAAGTTAACTGTGTTGGTTTGTCTCTTCCCTAGAGATAACAAATATTTATGAAATATTGGACTCCCCACACACCACAGAATGCACCGAAAAGGTAAAGGATTCTCCTGTACTTCTCCACTTGCAAATGCATATATATATAGCGACGGCTGTTGTGCAAGCTTGGAACTCTTTTGATCGACAAATTATAGTGAAAACACATGTGTCCTATACTTGTTGGAACTTCATTGTTTATGATAGTTGCAAACTTTCAAGTTTCAACTAAATGCGTGGTGGCATGATGGCTTGACTAATGAAGAAAGGTTCCCTGGTGAAAAAGCTGTGAAAACCCTATACTAATGAGAATGTGTTAATTAAGAAAACGGGGTTTTCCACAAATGGAAAAAGAGAAAAGAAAAGTAGGAATCACCTGTCATAACGGATGGCTAATAGTACAGCCGGATTTGACCAAATATCGGTGCCACTAAGTTGATATTGATATGATTTATTTATTTATTTTTGCAGGTTTCTAAAAGCAAAAAGAATGACCCTTCAATGCTACTTTATGGATTTTGAAGTACTAAATATTATCTCTCCTATGGAGTGGGAGCGTGTTTCTTTATAATACTTATGCCATAAAAAAAAGTCATTTAAACAATTGAGATCCGTCCACTATATGAAAAAAGCTACCATAGACCGCTCTACTAGGTAACTTAAACAAATTTGATAGTACAATAGCAGAGACAATTGTCATGAGGGAGACAGTACTGCTTTTCTATCGTTTAATTATATTATTCTAATACTCCATTATAGTTTAACAGTGGAGCCTGCTGCAATTGGTCTCAAGTAACTATTTGACTGTAACTGTGCACATACAAAACTTATTTTATGGATTACTCTTTAACCTAGCTACATGCAAATCGTAATTCAAACTTGTGATGTCATTGTTGTTCAATTTGCAAAAAGAAAAACAGAATCATTTGTCATAGTTACTGTGCGTTAGTGGTAATAAATCGGGAAGCTCATGAACCAAAGAGAGGTCCCTCCACCCACTTTACATATCTTTATACTAAAGAAATCTTGCATTTGTCATAGTCGATCAAGTCAAACTAATTAAGCAAATGATGAGCACCAATTCACCGTCCTATACTGCTGTTTATTTAATGGTTGGTTGCCTCCATCCGAGGAAGTCCCCATCTTCTGGCAACCCTTGAAACACTCCTAGTAGATTTTTTAGCCTTTGCAAAGTCGCAACAAGTTAACAAAGCTCATCTGATTTCCAGCCATGCCCATGCTAGGATGTAAAATGCAACTTCAGTAATAGTTTGAAAATTAAATAGCAGAAGGAATATTCCATGCATATATTCCTAATAAATACCTCATATATACTGCTTTCTTTATCAATGATGTCGAAATAATAATAATAAGCATTAACTACGTACTGCTTGGCATCTCAAGTGGCATAAATGAATTAATAAATTACTCTTTCTAGTAACTTGAAATCTTGAACTACGGTAGACTAGGCTTGGATCTTTTACCAAAAACGTTCAAATTCGTCCATCTATATGCCCAGATTCATCCTAATTGAGCCATCAATAACTGATGAAGGCTATCATGGTGGTCATCCTCAATTCTATAATCAAGTTGGTAATTCTGTTTTCTTTTAAAGTATATATACTTTACGTTATATCCATTAATTGGATACACTTAACAGAACATTAATCAACAATAATGAACATATTCTGTGGTTTTACAATTGTTTTTGACAATTAGCTGATGAGGTCATAAGAGTTAAATATAAGACATAAAAATCCCTTGAATTTCATTGACTAATTGACATGACAAATATTTTCACCAACTCTTTTTTTCCATTATTTTTGCTTTATAATTTATATACAACACAATGTAAAAATGATTTAATTTCCCAACTTCCCCACAACACTCAGAGTCTCAAACCTAAAGGTGAAATTGAAACGAAAGACAAGTAAAACAGAGAAACCTAACCAGGTAGAAATCATTCAAGGACCAAAGTTACTGTCACCATACATGATAAGATACTATCTTTTTGCTATGTAATACACGAGTAACACGGCGATCAAGCACTTTGTAATACACTTTTTGATCTAGTTTTGAGGGGAATGACCGGCTCCTGAAATCGTTTGCATGTTTTTTCGTGGCCTACCACCACACTTGTGGTGCTGGTGGAGGCTGCGTCTTGACAATAGCTGCTTTATTGATCATTAAAATTGTGACCAAGAATAGTCCTTGTTTCCTATTCATATTCTAATCTATACCCGGACATAACTCTCAAACAGTTAAACAGATTTTTGGTGAATGCCAAGTCTTGCAATTCTACAACACTATTTTAATTGAGGGAAAATCTTTTAAATTTAAAACCATTATTTAAGGGTGAACAATTGATTCACCTTTTTTTTTTCTTCATAAGCTCACATAAACAAGCTGTCAATTTAAGGACCTGTTTCTTCTTCATAATATCACATATACAAGCTGTATATATGATCAAACAAAATTCAAACCAACAAAATAAATTTTCAGTGCTCAATTACCTGCCTTGTCAGCACGCTGAAACTTGAAACATCACGCCTTCGTTCATGGCAGCCATCAAACAGGGTGAACCTCCTTCTGGTTAGCTTCGGAAATAAAAATTAGCTGAACATGATATCCACACCATTATTTTTGTTAGCGACTCATTCTTAGTAGTCGTCACGAAGAAAACTTTCATACTCTGTTCCGCTTAGTGTCCTATTCACATCATCCCAGTTCTTCACAAAATCCGATAACAGACCTTTGTGTATCTTAACCTGGCGACTTGTTAATTCCATCTTTGGAATCCCTAGAAACTCTTGAACGTCTTTTAGTTTCTGCAACAAGTATTATAAACAACAACATCGAGCGGATAACTGAATTAGAGAAGAATGATGTTGTACAAATAACATTAAGATAGATATACAGTTAATGAAACACAGAATTACCAAATGAAATACTAAAAGGATATTGTTACAGGTTGTCACTATCTTACCGTATGGTTCATGACAAGATCCTCGTAGTACAAAACTATGTGACGGGTGCTGTTGAAGTATTCTAAAGCCTTGACAGTAGCCCATTCTACTTCATTCAGATCACTTATTAATGACTTAGAATTGATTACCGGCTTGTAACTTGAAAGAGCAGCGGCCTGCATTATGAAACAAGCAAGAACTTCAAGATTGACGACAAAGGAAAAAGACAAAATATGAAGGTATGCGCGAGTCAGATCGAGAGCAGAGAGAGAGAGAGAGACTGGGGTTCGGTTAGAGACCTCTTGATGAGAATGAACATGAGACTTGTGGGTTCCATTCAATAGCTTAGCATGGCGATCATATGAATTGGCAAGCACTGAAACCATCCTTCGTAGCAAATTCCTTCGGAAGAGAAATATGGAAGAAATGCCCCGGTGTTTGAAGTATTCCACAATTTCTTCATGGTGTGCCATCAATCCCTACATAAGAATACATCTACAGTTAGCCACTGACCATCAAGCGGGTACTAAAATGCAAATAATCTCCATCCATAACTGAGGTTACGACCATCTTAATTGCAATCTTTTGCATGTTTAACTACAGCCAATCACTGTAATATGAACATTTGAAAATCAGATATCAAGAAATTAGTCAGTTTTCTCAGCCGATCCAAAACAATCAAATCTGAATTGGACACATTTACCTTTATTCAATGGCAATCCAAAATCCCTTTGCCAAAGCCCCAACGATTCTTTTTCTTTTAGAAGGGAATTTATCGAACTTTTTAATTTATTAGAGAATAAGTAGACCAAACACATGCATCAATGAATCCTAGACGCCTTACGTGAAATTCTGAATACATCATGCCAATACAAAATCGACTATTAGCTTTGATCCTTTCTCATACAAGTGGCCAAGTGGGGACAATTTGATAAACGCCGCAACTTTCTCACATGAACTTCATAAAATATCTAGGTCAAGACAAACGGACTATGGTTCTCCGACTATTAATTTTACTTGAAAAACCGTGTCCGGCACATAATTAGACATCGATATGGGATATAACTTCCCAAAGACCCACCAAATACATGAAAACCTTAAAGGAAAATAAAACGAATATGTCCATATCTAACATTCATACCAGATTCCATGTAAAATATAATCATATTTCAAAGTTCTATGGCACCTTGTAACAGCTAATAATGATATTTCAGCCAAGAATGAACCCTAGAGATCTTACCCACATAGCTGATCTATAATAATTACCACCACAGTTCCAAATACAATCATAAACACAAATTTCCACCATCACAAGCTACATTATTTTACCTGATTTAGCATCCACTTGAAGCCAACGGCAGCAGAGCACTCATTCTTGGAAGCGCTATTGAGCCAATCTAAATTGTAAACCTTCTCCAAAGTTTGTATAATGGTAGAAATATTTTTCCTCCTCTCCCTAACAGAGAATATCTCCCCATTTGAGCTAACGTTAATATGACTATTTAACAATGTCTCAAACCATCCACTTCCCGACCTTTGCATCGACAATATGACAAAGAACCTTACGGGATTTTGTGTACATTCACCCCTGGAAAATGATCAACAGCAAAACTTAAGCAAACAAATTTGGCTAAACCCAAAATCATAACAAAGAAAATATGTTCAAAATAGAAGGGAATTTAGCTTACCTGCTAAAGGTTTTAGGTTTAGGATAATGTAAGGTAGGAATTTGAGGTTGTAGTTGTGCAGCAATGTTAGTATCTGGAGCTGGACTCCCAATGACTTGGATGTTCATCTTGGCTACAGTACTTATTTGCTTCCTACAGATTGTACAGATATAAACACCGCATACCATAGCAAACAACAACACTATTGTCCTCAAGAACAGTGGAGATTTCTTAGAAGGCTTTATAATTAGAGTATCCTGGATTGAAATAGAAAGCATACATAACCAAAATTATCATCAAATCGAAGGAGATAGCAAGAAATGATTAAAAGCGCTGGCAGTTTCTAGAGGAAAACAAAATATTATGCTAAACATTTCAAATGAGAAAGAAACAGGGAAATAGAAAAGTTAAAACAGTTATCAATTTAGTAATTTACCCTGAAATTATATATATTAAAAAAAGGTCTTAAAACAGGAAAGGAAGTTCAAATTTAGAGCATAAGAACAAGTGAAAAGAAAACCCAGATCCAAACATGCAAAGAGGTAAACAAAGCATTAACCTTCAAATCCACCAATAAATTAATTTACAAAATTGAAGTATTAACTTGAGAACAAAGGAAAGTTAGACTAGGAAATCAAGAAAAACAAACATTTTCTAGGAAAAAATGTCGAACTTTTAATACCAACCGACACAGCCCCGTGACATTTAACTGAAAAAATGAGTCTTTTTTAAGCATTACAAAAAATAAAAGAAAAACAGAAGCTGAAGATAAAGGGCACCTTGTTAAATACACAGATATACTCGGCCATTGCTATTTTTGCAGAAGCTGAAGCAACTGCAGAAGAGAGAAGAGCAAGAGATTTGAGTGTGTCTCTGTGTGTGTGTGTGTGTATAATCACGAAGACCAAGAAGAAGAGGTTTTTATTGGTATGAAAATTCACTTATTCTCCTTCAGATTCTCAGCTACTATAGAAACCCCAAAGAAAATCTAAAACCAAAGAACGAAAAAGAGAAGAAGAAGCCAAAGAGAAGATGCAGCAGAGTCTTCGTTAAGCTTCCTGCTTTTTGTGCCTCGTGGGAAACAATGGCCTGAAAGTGAAACAAGCATACAGTTGTTTTGTTTTTAAAACTAGTTTATCAAAAAATGGGTTCATTAATCCAAGTTTACATAGACTCCAGTAAGTACAGATATTTATTTTAATAAATGGAAAAAATCATTGTACGAACGAAGGACAGATGCCTGAATGAAATCTGGAAAAGGCCCCCATGAAAGCACGAAGCGCGAATCGAACCAAAACACTCGGACTTTTGCCGGGTCAAGTGGATGCTCCCAAAAATGTAATAAAAAATTATTTAACATTTTTAAAAATTTATATAAAGCATCAACAATTCAACGTTGTATAAAGACGTGAATTATCCAATGTTTATGACTCTGACTTTTATTTGTTGATTATTACTTTTCTTTTAAATGTTTTTTACCATCTTGTGACGACTTCCCTGATGATTTAATCTTTGAATGATTCAAACATTGTAAAAATCAACCAATTTTGTTTGTCGGAAAAATAATTGGAATTGGTTAGGGTTTTGTTGAGATGTCTTTTGCCTTTTATTCATGGGAATCCTGTTTAATCAGTCAGCAGTAGATTTCTTGGATAATATTTCCTTTTTTATTATTATTTCCTCCACAATTGTTTAACTAATCATAATAAGTAATGCTATTTGTTATTCATGATGACTCTTGCTAAATAGATGTCTTAACCAAATCTCTTTAAATTTGCAAGTTCCATATTAAATGCCTAAATGTTCAAATGTCTAACTTACTTTTCTAATAATTTTAGTTTAGAGTGATTAAAAAAGTAATATATATTCATAATTTTTTTTTAATAATTGATAATGCACACAATTATAAATATAGTTGCTTGAACTCTAAGACATTTAAAATAAAAAAGCACTTCCTTTAAATGAGTTAAAATGTCTAACTTTTCATTAATGTTTAATCTGTAAAAACATTTGAACAACACTTTAATGCTTTTAAAAAGGGGCATGGTGACAAAGGGTAAACATTAGGGGTTAATTCTACTATTTATCTATTTTGTTTATGAAAGATACTGTTACATTAAAACTAATCGATTAAAAAAGTAATTAAAACAATGTTGCCAAAAATATTAAGTTTCTTAGTTGATTCAAAAATGTCAAATTTGTTCTAATAAGATCGAAAATGTTAGATTTTAATTTTATTTTCTGAAAAAATAAATATTTTTAAATGTATTAAAAATATATAATGTAATAATTCTAAAGAGATAAACTCTTATATAAAATTTTTAATTATACTAGATATTAGATCACTTGTTTTGTAAAAATAATAATTGGTATGGGTAGAACTTTGATAAATCTCAACATACATATCAACTTAAAAGAGTCCCTTCACTGAAATTTTATAAACTATTTTTTATTTAAAGGAATAAATAATGTCTCCTTGAGTTTTGAACTCATCAATTAATAAAAAATAATAATAACATTAAATAAATTTGAAGCTTACGACCATAAATAAATAAAGTTGAAGGTGGGATTTACCTTAAAGTCCCCATCTTCAAAAGCTAGATATTTTTTCTTAATCAATCCCTTTTTTTAAAATTCTAACAAAGTAATCTAATCCAGCTAATTAGTGTAATTTCAAAAGCCTGCTCCGATGATATATATATATATATATGGGGTATTGGCACCCATGTTGTCCCGCATGCAATTGGAATGGCCATTATTAACGACAAAGAGTTGTTCTTCTGCTTTTCCATAAAGGAGTTTTAGGAATTGCACGAGTGTTGTTGATCATTCCAATTTGTTTTTATTTTACTTTCGTTATCTTCATCTGAACGATAAAATGATGAATCAAGAGTTAACAAATAATATTTTTTTAAATATTAAATACATTCTATCAATAATATCACAAATTATTATAGAAAGATCATCATAAGAAATTAGTTAAAAATTCAAAAAAAATGTTGATCTTATCATCGTATTAACTTTACAAATACCTTTCGCTTGAAAAAATGCACATATTTTTTAAGAAATGATTCTAAAGTCTCATCAGTCATGGAGCTTTGTATGATATATAAATATAAAAGCTGGGTTTATAGAAAAAAACATTTAAAGTAGCCCGTTTTGGAGAGTGTGCTTGGTTTCCTGTGTGTGTGGCACTGATATAATTAGTGAAAATAAATGAGAAAATGACCTTGGAGGTGGAGGATATAATAGTTCCCATTGAAAATAATTTTGAAAACGAAATACTTCTCTCTAATCTCTCTATTTAATAAAGGATTCTAAACCTGTTTATTTTAAAATCAATAATTTTAATTCTCGTCGATACACTAATGTCAACGGATAATAAATCATATAATATCAAAATAATTTTAATTTTATTAATTATCATCATGCTAATACTTGTATGATAAATTTTTAATACAAGTGATTAAAATATAATTCTTTAAAAATTGGACGATAAAAATAAATAAGTGAAATTAAGGTCCTCCACTATGCAAATGCAACGGTCTCCTTTGACAACCTATCCATTTCATGTGTGTTGTCAACTTTTTTTTTATTTTTTATTTTTTGCTTAAAATTGAAGTTTGAAGAAGTGTCCCAACATTATGATCACAGAAACCATTTATATATAAAATAAAGATTTGATATTAAATGTGTGCCGACGTCAACCCCACGCCGTCTATATTTGTGGCATCCAAGAGTTTTTAACATTTTCATATGTATTGTTTCCGGCAATCAATAATTAAGGACCATAATTAATTTATAACTGAGGCATTTGTCTTTTGGGATTAAAAAAGTTGAGACATCAGTAAGATTGTATAAAAGAAAATTAAGTAGGTTTAATTACGCATCACATTGTTGTCTATGAGAGATTCTATCAAAATTTATGGCATTTTGGACATCGGCTTGCGTTCTAAATTTCAAACTATCTATGGAACGACGAACATGAGACATTTTTACAGATAGATGTTAATAATAAAAATATCAAATGTTTGATGTTTGTTTGTGTCGGTGAAATGCTGTGCTGCTGCTTCTATGCTCAAAAAAAGAGACAAGTTGGATACAGAGCCATCACATTTATTTATTTACTTTGATTGAAATAATGAAAAAAAAAATACTACAATTATTTCTTACGCCTTTCGTAAATAAGATAGTAAACGAGTCAAATTGAATTAGAGTATCATTGAATTTATTTGAAAAGTTTCAAGTTAAGCTTAACTTGAAAGTTCACAAGCTTAAATTATCAAGATCAACTCGAACTCAAATTAAAAATTAAAACTCCACTTGACTCTAAAACGTGCAAGTTTAAAATTGTCAAGTTCGACTCAAACACAAAATAAAAAATTGAAGCTCGACTTAAGCTTAAAAATATTCTCTAATTTAACTTGATTGAAGCTCAAACTCAAACTCGAATATGAATCTTAAGTACATAAAAATTTTATATTATATCTTTTTAAAAAATAACACATATATCAATATTAGTAATAGTTTAATTTAAAATTTATATATATATATATATATATTTCAAGTTGTCCACGGACTTTTCAAGTTATATATCAAATAGTTTATTTCAACTTGTTAAAAATCAAATCAAATTTGAACTCAAAGAGAGTCTATTTAATTTGAATATTAATCGAACTCGAGTAACTAGTGATATGTCTCATCTCATTTATAACCCTATACGTAAATTTATTTGTACACTTCATTTTAAGGGAAATTCTTCTACTTCATTTAATGATCATAAGAAGCAAGATTTTGGAATATAAAAATAATCTTGTGTTGTCCTAAAAATATATGTTCTTACTACTTTGGCAAGTCTTTACATTTTTATTTTGTAATTTGTATATAGTTCAGCATTCCAGGTATGCATTTGAAGATACAAAAATAAATTTTGGACAAACTACAAAGGGCCTTAAATAGCAAGTTAGGGCAGGGAGAGTGCCTCTAGCTGATTCTTTGGTACCTTTATAAATATAATTGGAACATTGACCATAGATTCACAGCCCAGCGTTAGCCTCTATCCAAAATCCAATTATATAATATTCAATAACTATGAACACTGTTTTTTCCTGTAAAGAAATGCCAATGAGAGTAACCTTCTGAAGTCTACTTTTTGTTATAATATCTACAACCGATATATAAATTGAATAAAATAGTATTGTTTCTCGATAAAAAAATAATAAACAAATAAAATATCAGACTTCTTATCACCATCAAGTGTGTTTTTTACATCACATGTAAAATGTCTACGCAAATATTATCTGGATAACTGCCTCAGCATTTCCATTGTACTGTGCTAGGAGATGGATTGCATCAGCCCTTGGCAATGCCAGAAATTCCTGAATCACATTCAAATAATATCACACCATTATACTTATTGTCCAACTGTAAACGAACATAAATTAGAGGAGCTAGCTCTTCGCCTAGCTTACAACAAGAGGACATCATGAGTTGAGCTTCTAACATAATAAAACAAATGCTTCTATCATTTTGGTTAAAATATGCTCTATGTCCCTGTACTCTTCTTATATTTGGAATTCAGGCCTTTCAATTTTAGGAATTTGGTCCCTCTACATTTTGGATTTAAAAATTCAAGTCAATTTGTTAAACCGGTTAAAAATTTTATGGTAAATTCAAGTCCCATCACAATGTTAGTTTTTTGTTATATGACTATGGAGTTACTATTTTTCTTTATTTCAAAATGTCGCATTAACAAATTTAGCAAGAGAATCTTAACCATCATAACAACTGGACATGAGTTTTTAAATCTGAAAAGTAGAGGGACTATATTCCTAAAAATAAAAGTCAGTGGATTAAATAAAATGTACGAAGCGTAAAGGAACTTTGAGCATACTTCAACTTTTTTTTATATAAGTTAAACAAATGCTTTATTAACCTGAACATGCATGTTAAATTTCAAGCAAATTAAATAATAATAATTACCGCTTATATGAACAATTGGTATATGGCTGATAAAGCATAAAAGGAATATTTGTTTAACTTACCATTACTTTAAGAATTGCATTCTCGTCACAAATAACATCTCTTGATGATGCTTGATTGGGACTGCTGCCATCGTCCGATACACGGGTGGCTGAAGAAACAGTAAGTTGAGAGGACCCAAGGGTGCAACTTTCAGCATTTGACTTTGAAGCAGTCAAGGAAGTTAACACAGGAGTGCTATTTTCCTTCAATGAATCAATTCTCAGAAGACTCTCAAACCGATCTTTACACATCTGCAGTTTGAACCATTCGGTGTGTGTGTGAAGAGTTGCTCTCATTATCCTCATCAGCTGAGGCTCCTCGATACCAAGCCTCTTCCCAAAAGCAACCTAACCAAGATAGAAAACCGTATACTTAAGTTACAAAAATACAGAACAAGAAAATATCTGTATATAAATTGAGAGAGTTGCAAACTTTAATGTACTTGAAGTGAACTTGCGAGAGCATGTAAAGGCAAGCTTGTCACAAGTGTATCTTCACTTGGGCGAAGCAATTGTACCAAAGTCTCCTTCAAGGGCTTCAGCAAATTGGAGTCACGAGCAGCTAAGGGGCCTAAATGGGAGCATGCAACCCTTAGAGCACCGGAATGATCACCCAACCCAACCAGTTTCAGAAATTCAACCTAAAACAAACAGAATGGTCAAGCCAAAATTCTTTGCATCTTATTGGTAATTTAGATAAATTTACCTGGAATTTTTAATAATAAAGTACAGCCGGTACAAACTACACTAACCTGTTTGAGTTGGAACAACAAAACAGGATTTTGCTCAAAGAAGTTTGGATCCAATGCATTAATTTCCTCCACGACCTCAGCAGCCATTCCTCTGCTAGCTAGCTCCTTCATCCGAAGAACAATTTCATATTTGTCTTCCTCGTTGGTATTTTCCACTCCCTGCATAATAAAAATTATGCTATTATCTATCAATTATAGTAAAATACAAAAAAATTCCAAAATGTAACTGTTATATCTTTGAGACAGTTGTACTGGCAATTTCTAATGCAGTGCTAACCTCTTGTTTTCCGTATCGATTATAATGATTATCAGAAATAAAATCCAGTTCATCACATCTTCCCCTCCATCGCTTACGTTTACTTCTTTCACCGGTTCCATGGTTTCTGTTTCTCAAGAGATTTGAATTTTCAGAATGATGTGATCCACTGGGGCTACAATCTTCGTGGTTGTTGGTGGGCTCAGAAGAAAATCTTAATTTGACGTCAGTTCCTTGCATGTTGCTCACATCAGTAGTAGCAGAAGTTTCACTATTTGAACGCTTAGCACCTCTATGATCGACATCAATGGAAGATTCTGGTGATGAACAACATCCAGACTCTAGAGGATTACCTTTCAGAGGTTCAGAAAGTGTTTTCATTCCTGAGAAAGGACAAATTGATCAGCACTCCAGTGAAGACATATATAATGAAAAGAAATTGATGTTAAGAGTTTTACTAGATGGAATGAAAATACCAGATTCAACAATTCCCCTGTAAACACAGTACTCACGAACAAGTTCATCAAGCACTGCATCATCCAATCTCATTCGACATATTTCATTCTGCATGCAAAGTCATAACTTATCAACTGATAACAAAAAACGCCAATTAGAGACTCTAGGACAGACCCACAAAGATTAAGTGATATATGGGAGAGAGATTTAGAATTTGAAATATTAACTGGACATCATCATGTTCAGTGTAAATCTGAAGATATAATCAAACAAATACAGGAAGTCATTTTCAAACTTTTATCCAACAAAAAAACTTGGTACTCTGTCAACATTATACATCATAATTATACAATAACGAGAAAACTTAGTACTGTGTCAAAATTCATCTCTGAATTAAGGGAAATAGTATCACAGCTGATTCAGTTGAGACAACAAAAAACCTGAATTTCCAAAAGGTATTGGGGGGAGGAAGGTATTAGATAGATTGTTAAAAATTTCAAAAACCTGAAATGCCTCAAACAGATCACCCTTGGCAAACCTCAAGCTATCAATAGCCCCTTGTCTTGTAAGCTCTACTGCATGTGCAAGAGCCTGTATATCCACCTGAATTTCAAAATCAACATGCAACTATAAGAGGAATCCATATAACCTAACAAATACACACATAGCATCACAAAGTCATGCATCAAGCCAGACTAATATATGACTATTTTCTCCCCAAGAAACATCTAAAACACACTAGCCAGGAAAAAGAAAGCACCTCATCAAACGCAGGTGCCTCATACAAATTATCTGGAGGTATTGCAGGGAAGTCACGTTCCTCAAGGAGCAATCTCTCAGTAAGACTTGAAATGGGTGATACAATTCTTTGTCTAAAGCAAAATACTTTATGTATGCTGAAAAAAGAAGGGAAATCGTTGCAAATTTATCAGAATCAAATATCAATACAAATGACCATAAATTTCATAAGAGTACTTAATGAATTATATATATATATAAAGTTGTAGTAATACCTCATCAGATAACTCAACGTCATTGAAAAGATGGGATTATATGCATGAATGTGAGCTCTTAAAACAGAAGACACTAATCCAGCAATCTCGTACCTCCTCTTCTCAGCCCACTGTACACAAAAGATCACAATATTCCTTAAGCACAGGATTCCTCTTCTTCAGCAATCATACAAAAAGTTGTTTATAAGGCCGAACTCCAACTTACCTCATTTGCAGCAGGGGAAGTTTGATCATCTTTGTCATATATAAAGGCAAGAAGCACATGCTTGAATTCCTCATAGGCTTCCTATACGGATACACTGATCTATCAGCAACCCCATGAACAGAATACATATGAACTAAATTGCTTGTTTTCTAGGTATCTTTTAAAAGCAATAATTCTATTTTTAAAAAATGATATTATAAGCAGCAATTAAATTGCCAAAACCACCCAAAAAGAAGTTAACAATGTCTACTTGTAACAGAATGACCAGATTTGGATCTCATTTCCCACCAGATGGTAAAAATCAACATTTTAAGGGTAATATGACACAACATCCAAGTCTAAGCGCAGTAGTGTATAGTAATTTTTATGAATATATTGCACATTCCCTATGGTCAATAACATAGATGCTTATCTTGGAAGTTATTCATCTTTCAATCCATTGTCTGAAGATTTGGGCTAATTAAGCCTCCAAATCTCAATCAAGTATTCAGTAGAAGACAAACGTATAAGGTGACAGGAAGACAATTAAGGACAGCTACTAGAAGAAAGGCTTATTTAGTAGATGCCACTTAAGAAAAGAGTTCTCAACACATAATAACAGCACATTGATCACTAAGACACTTTATCAATAATTCCCCCCATCAAATATCAATATCACAATCTTTTCAAAAGATTAAACACTTAGCAAAGACGGAAATGGGAAAGGTCAATAACATAGATGCTTATCTTGGAAGTTATTCATCTTTCAATCCATTGTCTGAAGGTTTGCGCTAATTAAGCCTCCAAATCTCAATCAAGTATTCAGTAGAAGACAAACGTATAAGGTGACAGGAAGACAATTAAGGACAGCTACTACAAGAAAGGCTTATTTAGTAGATGCCTCTTAAGAAAAGAGTTCTCAACACATAATAACAGCACATTGATCACTAAGACACTTTATCAATAATTCCCCCCATCAAATATCAATATCACAATCTTTTCAAAAGATTAAACACTTAGCAAAGACGGAAATGGGAAAGAATGATAACTTGTTACTCCTATCTCTCCATAATTTCTCCAAAATCAACCAATTCTTTTTCTAGAAATTTTATAACAAACCCTGTATTCAACTATTTCCTTAACATCATTTATCAAAAAACTATTTCCTCAACATCAATTCAAATAAAAAAAATGACGATGAATAAATGAATGATAATAATCTCACGCAAATAAAAAATTAGCATCACCGGGGTCAAAATAGTTGTCATTAATACCGTATTAAATTCCAAAATCAAACAATAATTATCAGAAAGAATAATATATTTACTAAAAGAGGAAGAAGTTACCGGATAGGCATTGAGAGCACAAGGAGCAAGAGACTTCCTTAGGTAATCAATTGCGAAGGCACGATCGTCCCTAGTCCCTTTCCTCAATAGCTCAATAAAATTCTTCAAAAGGAAAGTGGAAATGCGATCAACGATATAAAATTCAAAATCCGAAAACAAAAGAACTAATTCCACCCAAGCACACTTTTATTAGCATAAGAAAATAGATAAGACTAGGAAATTAACCAGTTTCTGTAACCGAAAGAGAAGGCGCTGATCTTCTAGGACAAAAGGAGCGTGAAGTCGGAGGAGATCAATGGCAGCGTCAATGTTACCGACCTCTAATGACCGCCGGATGTGGCGAATGATTAACCTCGAATGATAAGAATAAGGGAGAGAAGGAGAAGAAGGTGGCGAAGAGTCGTCGATCAAGTTCTCTGATTTGGCGAAATCGATGATGAGAGCGTCCAGTGCTTCCCAGTTAACAGGCCAAGAGTCCATGGATTTGATTATATTTTCTCGGGAAAGTTTTTGATAGAAAGAAAATAAGCAGGAGATGATGGGACGTGTAAAATATAAATTCCTGATCTGTTTTTCTTTTTCTTTTACTAATTTTCGTGTTTGAGAAGGGGAAAGCAAAAATTCCCCCGAAAGCAAGAGAGGCGGCGATGAGAGGTTAACAAAAAAATTAGAGAAGAAAAAGTAAGGATGGAATTTGGGGATTATAGAGGTGCCACGTGTCAGATAATTTCGTTGAGATAGCTAGTTTTATCCCCCGCAAAGTTTAACTGCCACGTCACTGACGTCAATGTGGAGTCTATCCTAAACAATTTGTAAAAGTAAAATCCTTCTTTTTCCTTTTCTTTTTCTATTTCTCTCATTTTATTTTCATTTTCATTTATGCTGTATCTTATTTTCATTTTCCCACGACAAAGTATATTGAACTTTAATTTTTAATTTTAAAACTTTATTTTCTGATTTTTTTTAATATCAAAAGTTTTTTAATTTCTATGTTAACTTCCATTAATAATTAATTAAAAGTAAAATAATTTATAAAAATATTTAATTAACGAATAAATAATTAAAAGTTAAATATTTTAATTCTTTTAATTTATTTTTCTATATTTTTTATTTTTTTATAAATTTATAAGTTAAAATCTCATTCATTATATTTTTATCTATTATTATCTAATGTAAAATTAGTCGTCATTTGTCTATGAGTGTTGGTATAAGTAGTTGAGATTCAAGAACTTAAGTTTGTAAGGTCAAGTTCAAATCCTACCAGTGTAACTCTTTGTGGACAATCTGTAAATTTTTATATAAATCTTAAATGATAATTATTTATAGATGGGTATTATTTATATGTATGTTAATAATTAATATACTGAAAAATAATTGATAAAATATTAATAGATTAGATTAATAATCATTAGGTAATACAAATCAAATTATATTTTAATGATTTTTTCCTTTTTAAATTATTTTTACTTTTAAATTTATTTTATTACCTACCCAGTAGGATAGTACCTACCCAAAAAGTGAATAAGATTTCTTTATTTAGGAAATACTAAAAGGGTCCAAACTTTTTCCCTTTTCCACTAGTTTGGAATATTCCATTTTCCTCTATCTCTAACATATACAAGAAATGGATGTTGCACGTTAATAGATAATATTTAAAGCTGAAATATTTGACTGAGTGGTTGAATTAAATAGATATAAAACAAGTTAATCAAATTAATGAATAATTTATTATAATTTAAATTTTATTTATTCTTAATTAAATCAAATGTATAAACTTTAAGTCTAGTTAAGTCAAATTAAATATATATTTATTTTAATTTTTATTCATAATTATTTATAATATTTATGATATTGATTGGCTCTAAGTTAAATGACTTCCTGTAATCATGTACGATATGCATATATATTTTTTCTCATATTCCTGTTCACATGTATAAATAAGATTTACAATGTTATTTAATAAATCAAATACTATCTCAAATTATATAATGTATTTATAATATTATTTTTAAAGAATGGATTTTGATAAAAAAATATTTATGACAACATAATAGAGTCAAGGAATTGATGAAAAGAAAGGATTTGTAAAGTGTTAAAGTCGGAGGATTAAATTAAATAAAATGAAAAGGTTAAGGAACATTAAATAATTTGAAAATATTTTTTAAATTAGTTTTTTAGAAAAAAAAAGATATTCAAGTTTTGCATATATTTAAAGTTGAGGGAGGAGGCTAGGAGTCTGTTATGTCCTAGTGTTAGCTGGACTCAGACTAAAGGAAGCTGGATTTGGGAGAATATACAGGTTAGGAAGGATAAGGTTAGCTGGCATCACTTTCTTTGGTTCCCTAATCATATTCCTAAATTTTCCATTATTTCTTGGATGGCCATCCTTGATAGATTGTCTACCAAGGACAATTTAGTTCGATTTGGAATTATTATTGATGGTGTATGTGGTTTGTATTGTGTTAGGTTGGAATCTAGGAATCGCCTATTTTCGGATTATTCTTATGTGAGGCATGTTTAGGATGTTGTTTTGCAATCTTGTGGTATGAGAAGTGTCCTCCTTTGTTGGGAGGATACTCTTCGTTGGGATGTAACCAACTTAAAGGGTAAGTCTCTTTTGATACATATTCTTAAGTTGGCTTGAACTGATTTTGTGTATTTCAATTGGGAGGAGTGTAATCGAAGGCAATTTAAGGGGTTGATTCGTTTGGTTGATGAGATTGTTAGGTGTATGAAGGAGGTTGTTAGAATTAAATTGTATAAATGTTACACGAAAAGGCAGGATGAGATCAATAAGTAATTGTGCATGGATTGGGAGTTGATATAGGTTTTTGTGTAAATGTTGATTATAGCAGTTTGTTTGCTTCTTTTTAGATAAATATAATTTTACTTATAAAAAAAGTTTTACATATATTGTATTTGGAGTTGAAAAGCATGAAATCCATTTAAAAAATTAGCATAAAATAAAAGAAAATTTGAGAAAACAAAATGTTGAGAGAGTAAATCAATTTTTTAAACTTTCAAAATTTAAACACTGCTAGAATATAAAAATCAAATCACTAATTCAAGTTAATTCAAATAATTTAAATTAAACAACTCAAACTAAAAAAATTAAATTAAAAAAATTTTATTCACTCGTAATTATACCAATATCTACAAAGGAAAAAAATTTGGACAAAAATTCATAATGTATGGACTGAATCTCTACCACTTAATAAAAAAAATCTATTGGGTCGTTCCAAACTTCATTACCATCGTCAGACGCCACGCCGGCCGCCATAACCGGTGACCGTTGACCATCGAAACTTCACAGTCTGCTCGCCTCGAAGTCAGCAACAAGGATTTAGGCTTCGTTTCATGAGACACAACCTACTTCAAAGTCGATCTCAGTCGAAGGTCACCGCAGTTGCATCCATCAACGGTGATTTTGTGACAGCATTAACCTTGATAAACTCGCTCCGACACTGGGAATCCAGAACTGAGTTCGGATTCTGAAGAAAAAGCCCTCATCTACACAAAAACGACAGAAATCGCAGCAGCTTGGAATGTTCCGATCTCATTCTATAGCCGTTGGATCGTCTCGAATCCGAGGTAGGTTGTTCCCGGGGATATTCTATACCTTCTCACCTTTGGGATTAACCAATGGACATCACAGACTACGGTTAATGGCTATGTCCGAGAATTCTGGTTCAAAGAGGGTAGCTACGAAGTGACTACGTGTTCTACAAACACAGTCCGGAAATAATACTTGCGCTGATTGTATCCAAAAGAATACTCATGATGCGTCGGTTTCCTACGGTGATTGCAAAGATCCACCTGTTACGAAGAAAAAGGTCAATGGTGGTTCTGGTAGTAATCGACAGCAGCCATTGAACAAATCTTTGAGCAACAATATGAGAAAATAAGCAGCAAGTGATTTTAGATCAGGGAATTATCACGATGGTGGATTGGGAGGTGTTCGGGTGAAGTCGAGGTCGATTACGAATGAGTTAAAGAGATCCCATTTTTAGGCATCGTCGGCGAATAAGGATATATCACCAGCTCAAACTACGGCAATAATTATCTATGATGGAATCAAGGAGGTAACCATAAAGGGTTATTGTGATGAAAAGCCTAGTGAAGTAGCAAGAAGTGGGAGAAATGGTCTTAAGAATTGGTGGAAGGAAGACCATCCAAAAATAAGTAAAGGGTATAGAAGCGGTTGCTACACATTATTTATCGAAAATCTATCGGAGAATATCCATTAGAAGAGGTTTGGATCTTTATTTTGCATCCATGGTCGGGTTATTGGTGCTTTCATTCCAAACAAAAGGAATTCGAAAGGGCTTCGCTTTGGTTTCATTCGTTTTGCAACAATCGAAGAAGCAAGGAAAGCGATCTCATAAATGAATGGATCTCATATTGAAGGGAGCAAAATTAGTGTATCTTTGGCTAAATTCAAACCTCGACAGTCTTTTTGGAGAAAGACCTCTACATCTATTCACCGTAAGTCTGAGATGGAAGGTGTTTCGAGGAATAATCTTTGTGAAATTCAAGGTGTTATGGACGAAGATAAACTTCACGTGTTGAGTAAATGTCTAGTGAGGTGGTGCAAGGACTTTATCAAAATTGGTAATCTCGCTAGACAAATACAAGCCAAGGGCCTCACTGATTTCTCGTTAATGAGAGCTGCTGGAAATGCAGTATTAATGATTTTCGAAGACTCTGTTTCATTGAGAAGTGTGAAGAACGATAAATCAGAGACTCTCGCAAAGTGGTTCTTCAGAGTCGAAGCTTGGTCAGAGAGTTTGGTAGTGAAGTGTTGTCGAGTGTGGTTAGTTTGCGAGGGTGTTCCTTTTCACGCTTGGAATTGGGATACTTTCAAAAACATTACAGATAAGTGGGGTTATTTGTTAGCAATCGACGAAAGCTGTCAGTCACCATCATCCTTTGATCAGGCAAAAATTCAAGTCCTCATAAATGCTCATGTGAGAATTGATGCGACGTTGGAATTGAAAGTCGGTGACAACTCCTTCAAAATCATGGTGCATGAGATTGAGCCTTCATTCAAGCCAAACTCTTGGGTCCTTAACGAAGTCGATTCTCATTAGATCTCGTCCCTTCAATTATGTCTTTGATTCAGGTGTTGGTTTTCTTTTGTGTTATGTTCTTTTAAGTTGTTTTTTATCCTATTGTTGGAGGTGTAACTTAGAAATAAAGTGATTGTCGATTGTGGTTTTTTGTTGAGGATGTGAGAGTTTAAGGTGTTTGTTGTAATTGTGTATATCACCATAGGAGGATATTTCGTGTTTTCCTATATATTGGGTATTATTATTAATAACTATGAGGTATTTTTTTCTTCCTTCCAATGTTCGTTAACATATTTCTTAGCATGTGAACGAATACGAATGGAATTTTTAACGAGACCTCCAACTTCTATAAAAAATTTTGCTTATATCTCATTGTGCAAAAATTGACTTGTTCTACAACTTCAAACAATTCCACTGATAAAGACTCGGCAAATAATGCGTCAGTTAAGCAAAAATACAGCAACTCAAATTCCATGAATTAAACTAGTTTTGGTTAATTGAACCCAACACATAATATTTTTTAACAGTAAATTTATCATTGATTGAATATATTGTAGAATAACTTAGTAAATTCCACATGAACGTACAATTTGCAATTCCTTTTCCCTATAAGAAAAATATATCAGTGCATTTGAAACCATGCAAGGGATATTAGACATCAATGATTTAACTTTCAGGTGATTGTCAGATGGTTTACAACGCTTGGAAAGTTGGACATTGTCAATGATTACTACTATTATCAAAATAAATAGAAAGAAAATTTGCAGCGGGTTAGATTTTTTAACAATGCTGACATGTACATATAAGTTCAGTTCTAGCCAGTTTCTTTGTTGGTGAAATGTGTAACTATTGCAAGTATAGGACCCCAAATCACATTCAATTTCATAGAAAACCAACCCAGATTTTTGCAACCTTGTAAAACCATTTTCTTCTCTCCTTAGGGATACTTCATGAGGAAGGTTCAACTTCCAAAGCCTTTAATCTGGAACTCTGAGCAGTACTTTCTTGGATATTGTGTTCAAACTCTTAGCAAATTCCATGACTTCTTTTTCAGCTTCACGTCTCCTTTTTCCCTTACCACAAACCCCAAGCTAATCACCGGTATTCAACTAACTTAACAAGAAAGAAATGTATTCTTTAACTCATGGCAATTCAAAATATGCGGCAGCAGGGTTCCCAACAGCCCCCATGAACATGGTCTACCGGCCTGTGCTATTGTTGTGATGACCCTGCCAATTGTTTCATCACCTGTTTCTGTCCCTGTGTTACCTTTGGACAAATTGCTGAGATTGTTAACAAAGGGTCCATCTGTAAGCTTCTAAAATACCCAGTTTAAGACCATTTTATGAACCTGCAAGGTCTGAAAAACTAATTTTGGTGTTATATTTTGTATGCAGCTTGTGCAGCAAGTGGTGCGGTTTATGGATTGCTGGCTCTGACAGGCTTATCTTGCTTGTAATCGTGTGTTTATAGGTCGAGATTGAGAGGACAATACGACTTGGAAGAGGCTCCTTGTGCTGATTGCTTGGTTCATTTCTGTTGTGAGACTTGCTCACTTTGTCAAGAATATAGAGAGCTCATGAACCGTGGATTTGATATGGGGATCGGTATAAGTTGCCCAAGCTTTTTTTGTCCATTTTCTTTGATCTTTATATCTCTATCTGCAACATGTTTTTTTTACCCTCTCGATCCCAAAACTTCACCTTAGTTAAAAAAATCGGTATTTTCATATTTTTGAAGTTATATCATATCCATGTGTGGTGTATAAGATAATTTGTAGATATTCATGTGGAGTAACATAAACAATTAGAATTGTTATTGGTTAAAATATTTTAATTAAGTCAAAAATAAAATAACAAGTCCTTTAATTCATATAATCATTAATTTAAAACTTAAATATCACTCAGGTTTAAGCTGAACATAATTAAAATACATTAATATGTATATACTTATTACGTTGACAACTCAAATCTAATATTTTAAAAGAGACATATAGTTTTATCCAAATTTAAAAGAAATATTTCTTTTATTCTTTTTAATAAATTAGATCCAATTTTTTATACAATTACACGTGTCTAAAATTTGATTCATATTTTAAACATGCACCATGTTAGACCTGAACTAGCGTTAATTTAATATCCAAACATATGGTTAATGTGATTAAAAAAACTTATTGATACAATATTAAGAATTCAAGAACTTAATTATAATATTTTAATATTTAGGGATAAAATAAAAATTGGTTCATAATTTGAGAATGTCTAGTGTAGTATAATTAACTTTAATAAATAGGAATCTAGTAGGAATGACTTGGAATTTTATGTTTTGCTTGTTTTTCAGTCACAAATAAAAATTTGGGTTAAAGGTTGGAAAGCAAACATGGAACGACAAGGAAGAGGAATTACAGTTGCTCCTGTCGTAGGACGTATGGCCAGATGATAATACTCAAACCTCTGCAACATTAACACCATTGTCTTTGTGTATTTGTTCTACTTTACAAACTATGTTTTATTCAGTTTTATGCTATTTGTTTTATGCTCCTTTTTATTCTGAAAACCGCAAGTGTTTATTACAAATCTAGGGGGAAGGAAGAAAACGTACTTAAAATAACACCAGATCAATTGCTGAGGTCAAGATGGCTTCATGGTGCGAGTCATCATGGTCATGAACTCATTCATGTCGATTAAACCATCCCCGTCAACATCCAGCCCTCGAATCATTTTACGACAAGCTTCCAAGCTACATCTTTCTCCCATCTTCTTCATCACCGCCATTAATTCTTCGGCGCTTATTTTACCATCGCCGTCCAAATCATACACCCGAAATGCGCTTTGGATGTCGTTGCCATTGATCCCTTCTCCCATGTTATGCATCATCTCAGTGAATTCCTTGTAGTCGATGAAGCCGTCCCCATCGGCGTCGATGGCAGAAAATGCTTTCCCCATTTCTCTTTCTGCAACTCCTTTTCCCATCACTTTCAAAGCTGATTTGTACTCTTCCTTGGAGATTTTGCCATCTTTGTTGGTGTCAAACTTGTTGAACACACACTTCATTTCTTCCATGTTTGGCTGGTAAGTCCTTGATGACATGTTCGAGTTTTGCCTTTCCTTGTTGATGCTCAACTGGGTTGGTTTTCTTGACAACTTTCTCGAGAGCGAAACACATTTGATCTTGATGAAACTCAAAATCGACATTCGGATGTTTCTGTGAATTTGTGGAACTGTTTCTGATATGATCTTCAATGTCGGGTGCCTTTCTTTATATATAATCTTACTTGCCTAACAAATCATGTAGAATATCACTTTAACTGAATTTGTTGATCTAAACCAATTAAAGGGAGTGTAATTGGGTTTGATATTCTTATTCCAAAATTTTCATTTTTATCCATACAACTTGACATTCGACGCGTAGGAATCATTGGCACTACACTACCATACAAGATTCCAGTTGGACTCCAAAATTTTCCATTTTCTCCTAGACCCGCATCTGACATACATGTTGGCATGGAAATGAATTTCCAATATATAAAAGATATAATTAAATGTAGGAAAAGGTCGACTGTTGAACGAAGATTAAGGCTGAGAAAAGGTTTGATTGAGACATTTATTAGATATTGTCCTTAAAGATATTTCACGAAATCTTTCAAGATTCAACAATTTTTTATATTTAAATCAAACCAAGTGGTTTTAACCAAGAACACGTGATTCTTTTGAGATACCTACACATGTTACAATAATCTCTTCCTATTTGAAAAGAATTGTCGGAACTGTCTTTCGGTTAGATCCGGAATTGAGTTTCGACTTGAACTAAATGAATTGGAGTCGCCACCGATAATTTATTTTAAAAAAAATTGGTTGACCGAGTACCTTATTTCTTACCTGACTTGCGTCTTACCAGTGATGTGTCGGATTCGGGAGTCGGTTACAGTCAAGGAAGGGTTAGCACCCTTGAAATGCCCTTTCGGTACTATGTAATTTACAGTTGTCTTTAGTTAAGAAAAATGTAACTTTAAATTAAAAGGTAAAATGACGATCCAAATTTTTTACCTCTGATTGATTGAAAACGTACCCTTTAAAAGTCAAAAAAATGTGTTAAGAAGAAAAAATGAAAATAAATAATGAAGAAAATACAAAAACGAATGGAATAAATGAAGTAATATAAAATAAAGAAAATACATGAAATAAAAAAGTAAAGGTAAAAATGAATATAACCAATGTGTGAAGAATATATATATAATGTAATAATGTAAAAAATATTACACAGAAAAATTATATATAAACAATAAAAATAATAAAATAAATATATACGTACGAACTAAATAAATAAAAGTGAAAAAAGTAAAAATCGGTAAAAAGATAGATATAGAGAAAATAAAATAATAAAAAATATATAAACATACATATTAATATGGAATGAAATAAATAAATTAAGGAAGAAAAATATATATCTAATAAATAAATAAAAAATATATACATAAAATGATGATAATAATAATAAAAAGGGAAAAAATGGGAAATAATATATATATATATATATATACGTTAATAGTAAAAATAAATGATAATAGTAATAGCTAAAAAATATATACATATATATAATAAAAAATATAAACGTATGCTAAAATATATATATATATATATAAGGGAATAAAATATAATAATGAAAATATGATATATAATAATAGCAAGGATTAAATTAAAACAGAAGCAAAGCTAAGGGGTAAATTAAAAAAGGAATCAAATTTGGTTTGGGGTAAAATTGAACACTTTAAAACAACGGGACCGAAACAGGATTTATCCATTTTAGAGGTAAAAACACGCAGATCCTCATCTGGTGCGGGTCGGGTCCTGGATCAGCCATGGGCCGAGTATATAAGCTACTTTTCATAAACAAGTTTCATAATTCTCACCTCCCCTCTCCAGGATCAAAACGCCAACCATTGTTTTCTCTGAAATGTTCTTAGGCTGTTCTTCAAGATGAAGAACAACCACCGTACGAAACCCAGATCACGGTGGCCACCGCCTCGCCGACCGCCGTATATCGACGCCGGCCACCGCTAATCGGCGGTGGTCCACCAAAAAAATATTTTTTTAGCCCTTTTCACCCACAACTCAAAAATCGTGTTTGTTTTTTGAAAAATGGCCTCAAGAGGGGTAGATCTGGAGTTGATCGTTTCGAAAACCCCCTCTCCGGGTCCTCGGCCAAACGTTCTTTGGGTTATTGTGCAACCAGATAATGAAAGTAAATTCAATCGAGACCATACGCATGCAAGGAAACCAAAAAAGGTCAGAACTTTTTACCTTTCCTTTCGAAATATTGCAAGAATAATGCTTGGGTTGCTTCGAATATTCGTATTTTTACTCGTATGTTCCTAGTATTTCCGCTAAAAAAAATTGCGTATGCTTTGTATATATCAATCGTGACCATTACAGTAAGGATTACATGTTATTTATAATATTCAAGCCATCCTATTTTTGGGTATTTGATTCCTAGTTAAAAACTAATATTTGCTATTGGTTTGCTGTTGAACCGAGATGATCGGTTGTGGGTTGTTACTGAAGGGTCTTTGTGCTCTCCTTGCGCTGAAAGAATCGGGGTTGGTGTCGTGCAGCGTGGGGGAACCTGGGTTGCTTGGAGATGCAGCGCTGGTGAGAGAGAAGCTGTTAGGGTTTGACTTGGAACTGGACAGCTTGGACCTTGTTTGGGCCGTTGTTGGGCCATTTTATTTGATTTTGGGGCCTGTAAAAATGTAAATAAAGTTAATAATATAATTATACACTATGGTTTGTAATATTACATAATAATATAATAATATTAATAACAAAAGACGAAATCGAGTGTCTTCAGTTGCCCCTCTTTGCTCATTATCGTGTAATGAAAATAGAGCAAAGATTAAAAGACACGAATTTCGGTCATATCGAATATCTTCCATCATGGAGTTAAAATCTGATATTAGGACTGGTTTGTCAATCTGGATTGAAATATAAAATGACTCCCTCGTTGTGAAGTCGAGTTAAACTGGAGGCTCCTAAGTACGAAATCCTAAATCGAACTCGAAGCTTTGAGTAGTAGCTCATGGATCATCTTCTGGCTCAGGATACTTTGTCGTGAAGGTAAAACTTGCCCTGAAGACTTCGGTATGGCTGTGTTACAGATGAATCCTTCGTCGTGAAGTTGGGTCAATCTGTTAGTGAAGTTGGAATTGTACATGGCCCCTTCGTCGTGAAGTTGAGCCTAGGATTTGGATATCATTCATCGTGAAGTTGAAATCCAATGTAAGTTGCATTGTTTCGAGGCCAATATCCTCCGCCGTGATGTTGAAATTGACTCTGAAACTGGAAAGTTTATTGATAGCCACTCATTCCTTGAGTTGGATATCCTTCGTTGTGAAGTTGAAAACCAATCTAGAGATAGATATTGCTTGTGTGTATGATTCCCTTCGTCGTGAAGTTTAAACCGCGGGTGGCCCCTTCGTCGTGAAGTTGAGCCTGGTAATTGGATGTCCTTCGTTGTGAAGTTGAAATCCAGGTAAGTTGTATTGCTCCGAGTCCAATATCCTCCGTCGTGAAGTTGAAATTGGTTCTGGAACTGGGAAATTGTTTGTTGACAGTCAGCCGCCCCTTCGCCGTGAAGTTGAGCTTGTGCCGTCTTGAGTCCAATATCCTTCGTTGTGAAGTTAAAATTGACTCTGAAAGTTGTTTGTTGACAATCAGCCGCCCCTTCGTCGTGAAGTTGAGCTTGTGTTGTCTTGGGTCCAATATCATTCGTTGTGAAGTTGAAATTGGTTCTGAAATTGGGAAGCCCCTTCGTCGTGAAGTTGAGCGCCGGATGGCACGATATCCTCCGTTGTGGAGTTAAAATTGTGGATGTGTGGGTACGATATCCTTCGTCATGGAGTTGAAATCGCGGATGGCCCCTTCGTCATGGAGTTGAATCTTGACTTGAATATCCTTCGCCGTGAAGTTGAAATCCATGTATTGTATGTTGCGGGTGAACACGATTCCCTTCGCCGTGAAGTTGAAACTGTGGATGACCCTTTTATTGTGACGTTTGGCTTTGAGTTAGATATCCTTCGTCGTGAAGTTGAAATCTACTCTCGAGCAAATTGCGTTATTTTTTTAGTCCAATATCCTTTGCTGCGAAGTTGAAATTGGCTCTAGATAAGACCTGCAAAGATATGCATATATGCGATGTTATGAATGCAATGCTCTTAGGTGTGCCTAAAATGCATATGCAACATATGTTATCTTGGGACTTTGGAGGGAAATCTCGATCTCCGGTTGCCTGTCGTGTTGACTCTTGATTTTGAAATCTTGAAGTTCTGATCCTTGATCTTGGATTCTTTAAATGTTTCAATCTGGTGTGCACATTCTATTTGCTTCTTGATTTGGGAAATACTTCTCGACCATCTCAAGTATGTGCATGAGCCTTGATCGACTTCGGGTACCTGTATTTTTCAATGAATCTTTGTACAGTAATATGCGATTATCTTTTGCATAAGTAAATAAATCATTAAGTTTAAGCTCAATTCAAGATGCTCAAAAGGAATTGGTTTAGAGAAACGGATTGTCTTTTATTCATGAGAAAAAAAAGAACAAATAATACATGACAAGCATTCTGAAAAATGAATACATGATGAGGTGTAAATGAATGTCTTAGATCACGATAATGTGGGCACTTTTGAGCTCGAAAGCCGTTAAGTGACTTTGAACGCAGCCTTTGCCAAGGGATCTTTGAAAATACGACAACATTCTGGAGAGTGCAACCTTTCTCCAACTTATTGAGTCTGTAGAAGATTCAGATGCCGGGACACTTCCATTGTCTGTATTTCTGATGTCCAAATCTCCCTTTCGGGTGTTCAACTTGGACCCATCCTTGGTTGCAAGATGCCCTTTGCGGGTTTTCATCTTGAACCCACCTTATTTTCTTTTATTTTTATTTTTCTTTTGTTTTTTTCTCTTTTCCTTTTCTTTTTTTTTCAATTTAGGGTGCCTTTTCGGGTTTTCACCCTAAACAATTTTTATTTTTTTCCTTTTTCTTTTTCTTTTTTTTTCCAACTTAGGGCGCCCTCTCGGGTTTTCATCCTAAGCGAAGTACTTTTTCCAAGTTGATGGGATGTGGCAGTTCAGGTCCGTCCATTTCAGCCAGGACAAGGGCTCCTCCAGAGAAGGCCTTTTGCACGACATAAGGTCCTTCCCAATTTGGCATCCATTTT